GATGGGCTGGCGGCTGGGTGCTCTCAACTGGTCTCGGGTTGCCCTTGTCTTATATCTGCAGAGTCTGACAGGGTAACCACCCTCCCCGGCGCCCCTTCCCAGTCTGGGGCTGGGGTGGGGATTTGTGGAGCTTCAGTGTCAGCTCACAGCCGACTGACAGTGTTGTTCTCAGAGGCCAGTGCGGACAGGCCCTTCCAACAAGGGCAGGCTGCCCGTGTCTGTCGCTCTTGTGTCACTTTACCCTCTGGGACCTGAACCCCTGGAGGTCTGCGCTGGGGGGTCACCATTGGTGGGTGGGTGTGACTCGGGGGAGAAGCTGCTAAGCGGAGTGAGGGTCGTCAGCCATACCCCACGGGGAAGGGCAGTGAGGCCTCCCTACCCCGCTGTTCTCAGCAGCCCTTGTTGGGCGTTCCCGGGGCAGCATGGCCTAAGACGAGCGGTGCAGACACACCAGGTCTGTCACTCACTTCTGTGTCACGGTTCAGCCCAGCCGTCCCTTTGGACTGGTCCTGCAGGAGTCTGACACCTTGAGAGGCCCACCCCCCCACTCTGTGCCCCAAGTGTTAGATTCACCTCCGTACGCTGGCGACAGCTTCCCGCACCTTGGTCTTACAGCCCCCAGAGTGCAGAGTGGGTCTCCCCTCACCTCCTGCGCACCAACAGCATGTGAGGGTCGCATCCAGAGCCATGGGGGTGCGGGTCTGCCTGCTGCTCCTACAAGGTGAGGGGTGGTGACTTGTGTATGACTCCCAGCAACTGGGGTCGCTGGGAAAGTGAGGACAGCTCCCCACTCTACAGACCAGGGCAGACTGCCGCCTGCCTGCCCCTCTGACTTCATGGAGACCATCCAGGGGTCTGGGATTGGTTGGGGGGGGGGGTGTCCAGCTCCTTGGTCATCCCATGAGGCGCAGGGGATCAGTGGTTGGGGGCTCTGCTGCTGGTTTGTGTGGCGCCGCCTCCCATTACTCCTTGTGACTAAAGCTGCCCTCCTCCCCAGGGATGCTGGAAGATGGGAAGAAATTTGACTCCTCCCGGGATAGAAACAAGCCCTTTAAGTTCATGCTGGGCAAGCAGGAGGTGATCCGAGGCTGGGAAGAAGGGGTGGCCCAGGTAAGTGGGTTTGCTTGTTTCCCTTTCCCCAGTGTCTGGTTCTGTGCTGTCAAAACCAGGCCCTGGTGACTCGCCTTGTGTGGCTGTGTGCATCAGACTTGGGCAGGTCTGACCCCCACCCCACGCTGAGGCAAGGGCCTGTCTCCCTGCGGCCTGCCAGCAGAGCCTGCTGTTACACCTGTGGCTTTGGGACACCGTGAAACATGGCCTCTCCTTGTCGTTTTAATTGACGCAGGTCTTCCTGGGCATGTTGTGTCCGACCTCTTCTGGGAGGTCAGACTAGAGGAGAAAGAGTCCTTTGGTTGGCCTGGCTTCTGCTTCCTGGCAGGCCCCACCCCATTTCTGTGAACACCTTTGTAAGCCAACCCTACAGAATTCCCGGGAGACAATGGGAGACTGGGGGTTGGTAGATCTCCGTTGGAGTCTATCCTTTATCACTCCCAAGAATATTTTTTTCTTGGTGCTGACCAGGTACAGGGGGGTGTTGAGGTTAGCCTGAGACCCCGGGGCTTTATGAGGAGGCCCAGCCTGATGGGTAGTCCGTCTCTCTCCAAGGAGGGCTGGGGATGTCATGGAGATTGCAAGGGATTGCCGTCTGCCCGTTTCCGGAACACACATTAATCAGCTTCCCAGAAAATGTCACCGGCTTATCTCCAGGCAAACCTCGTCGCACAACTGGCAGGAGCTTCCGGCCATCCTGCTCACAGATGTTGGCTGACCGAGAAGGAAGGGCCTTTGCGGCGTTTACTTCCCTCTGGAAACCTGGCCAGTCTTGTCTTCTCTTTCTGTCCCCGCCCCGTCCCCCAAGCCACACCACAGCTCATCTCTGGCTCCCAGCAGCGCTGGGCCAGTCACTGTTACATGTCCCTCCTGCTCTCGCCCCAACAACCTGCTTCTCAGCCCCACCCAGGCTCGCCCCGGCCCAGAGCCTTGGGACAGTCACTGCTGCCTCCCAGCGAGAAGTCGGGAGCAGCGTCCCCAGAGCCAGCCAAGAAGAGGGCTCATCCTGATGCCACTGGTTGGGCTTCCCAGGCTCACAGATGTGGAATTCACAGGGACGATTGGCAGCAAGTGTCGTTCGTTCTGGCAGCGTCCCGTGGGCATCTTCTCAGGTTAGGATATTCTGAGGGCTCTCAGGCAGTGGGTGGTCCTTTGTAACCACCCTCCAAACAGCAAAATAAGCCAGCCTAATATTCTACAAGTGGAATCATTTGACTCTGAATTGTGTTAGATAGGCCACAGTGGCGCAAGGCGGAGACAGTGGGAGTCACCTCTGCTTCCCCTGCCGGCTCTCCTTACCACCTGGGTCCCCGTATGCCCCTGTGTGTAGAGGGAGCTGGCAGAAACAAGGGATCTGGATTGCCATGGTAGCTGGGGCTGAGCCAGAGTGCCCATGTGGAGGCTACAAGAAATCAGCCATGAAGGCATGGGAATACCTTAGAGAGCCTGCTCCATATTTACCCTTAGCTTGTCCGGAAATGACAACACATGCCAGTATGTGAGGGGGAACGCTGCTCCTCCCCACCCTCCCCCACTCAGCACTGGCCCCCTAGCACGGAGTTGAACTACCCCATAGGCTCTCTCTCTCTTTTTCTTTTTTTTTTCCAGGCTTTTTATTGGGGCTCGCACAACTCTTACCATAGTCTATCCATCGATCCGTTGTGTCAAGCACATGTGTACATTCGTTGCCCCGTGGGCTTTCTAAGGCACATCTTTGTCCCACGGAGCAGCGGAGGGGTTCAACCTTCCCATAACCTGGACTCCTCTGCTCTGCTTATAGAAATATTCCATGCACAAATGGTAGCTGTAGCACACTGTGTGCGTGCTGCTGTGTGCCTCAGAACATTTTAAGCAGGTAGAATTAGAGAAAACACCGACCAGTAAACTACCCCAACTATTTGTGTTATTGGTAGGTCGTGCACAGAGGCAGGACAGTAGTTGAGTCACGCCGAGTCCTGCTCTGTGTGCGCTGTTTCTACTGAAGCAAAGTGTTGGTCCAGGGTGCAGAGAGGCCTCTGGCTGGGCGTGGGCTGAGTGGTGCTTGAGTGTGCTCGTTATCTGCCCAGTGTCAGATGACTGAGACCCGGCGAGAAGAGTGTCGTTCCGAAAGTGAGTCCAGAGGGCAGTTTCTAACTGCAGTGCAGGGGTCGTGGGGCTGGCCGACAACCTCCCACAAGCCCCTGGTGTCCTCGCCAGAGCGCCGTCCGGCTGATTCTTTCTTTCTCGTTCTTTTCTCAGATGAGCGTGGGTCAGAGAGCCAAACTGACCATCTCCCCAGACTATGCCTACGGTGCTACTGGGCACCCTGGCATCATCCCACCAAACGCCACTCTGGTCTTTGACGTGGAGCTTCTGAAGCTGGAATGACAGCACTGGCCTCCCCTTAGCCCCTGTGCTCGGGTAAGGACTCTTCAGGCTGGAGGACTGGGCTCCCCTCACGTTGTGCCCAATGCTTGATGGCTCAGAGCAAGGGCCACATGTCCCGGCATCCTCCCTCGACGGGTGCCCACTGGTGGCAGGGCTGTCATGTGTTCTCTGGTGGGTTTTGTAAGGCCGGGGCAGCTGACAGGCGCTGTGAGATGAAGTCTCTCCATCGTGGACAAACTGACCAGGAGTTGGGACTATGGAAAAGGTAGACTAAGTGTTTCGTGCCAACCTTGCCATTCTTTAGAAGTCAGCATCCTGTTCCCAGAGGCTGGTGAGGCCCATCCCAGCAGAGACAGCATGACCTTGCTGGCCAGCTTTCTCACTGGGACAGGCCCGCTGTTTGCCCGGAGAGCTACCCCTTATCCGGACTTCCTTCCCCGTTCTCTGAGAGCCCAGTCATTTGGAGTGATCCTGGTTTGGAAATGGTTTCTGTAAGCCTAGTGGGGGAGAGAGGTGAACTTCCCCTAGTTAGGCGGAAGGGTCTGGAGGGAAAACCCAGAGGCAGACCCAGGAAGTCGTAGGCCCGAGTGACTGGACAGACAGACACTGCAGACATCTCTCCGCGTCTGTGTTCAGCACGGCGGATACAAGCTCAGCTGTGCAGTAGACTCACCTGGGAAGCTTCCTAAACCTCTTCAGCGGTGCCTGGCCACACTGTAGGCCAGCTCATCCGGCAGGGCCCACTATTCCCGGGGCGTTTCCCACTTCACGGGTGATATATGGCCCTCTGTAGCCACATTGGCCATCCAGTCCTGGGCAGTCTTCCTGCAGCAGGTCAGCTTCACTATAGACTGAAATACGAAAGACCAGTGTAAACAAAGGGAGGGCTCCTTACCTGAGAGCCAGCCTGTGCACTGGCCGGGCCTCCGTAACACCCCTCAGCCATCCTGGGGCTCAGAGAAGCCGTGGCTCTCCCTCCCCGCTACACAGACACTGCAGACACAACTCTGAGCTGCCGCAACTCACACGCTTCCTGTCCCCACAGATCAGCCCCGGAGGGACCTGGCGCCTCCAGACGCACGCACGTGACTCCGAACGGAGCTTCCTCTGACGTTCGTTCCACTACACTCTTGTGTAAACATCTACCCCTGACTGAATGCGTTCTGTCACTCAGCTTTGCTTCCGACACCTCTGTTTCCTCTCCCCTCTCGTATGGATATCGACTTCAACTGTTTGCCACCGACCTCCGGTCACTCAGTTTATTTTGTTCTGGTTCTGTCTTTTGGATCTCAGTTTCCGATTAAGCATACGATCCAGTATTAACAGCACAAAGGGTTAACTTTAGGAATGGGGAGGGGGGTTGCAAGGAACTTTATTATTTTCTTTTCCAGTTTTGCTTTGTTCTTTGGAGGAAATTTTTATTGTATATTAAACATTCTTGCTGCTGCGCTGCAAAGCCATAGCAGACATGAGGCATTGTTGAGGCTGCGATGTTCTCCTAGTGGAGAGCAAGCCTTGGGTTGAATTAAGAGCCCTCCTCAAAAATGATGTGGGGAGGTGAAGAGCCTCTGCCTCCACTACCCCCACCCGGCTGCCTTTCAAAGCAGATCATCCTCCCTCTGGTGTTGGACACTACCGGTATCCGTCCCCGGCCGGCAGGGACCTCTGAAGCCTTCTTTGTGGCCTGGCTTGTATTTTAACTGGTTATTTTATTTTATTTTATTGACCATCCTGTGGTTTTTCTAATGGATTTTCAGGACTTTTGTAATCTAGTAGCTATCGAAGCTCTGCCACTTCCTAAACTTTAAGAACTTTAATTGAACGTTTAAATTGAAGGTGCTGTTTGTAGACACTTAGCCGCCCACTGAAAGCCCAGTCATCATGACAAACCCTTGCGTGTTCTCTTAAGAAAATGATGCTGGTCATCGCAGCTTCAGCATCTCCTGTTTCTGGATGCTCAGCTCTCCCCCACCCCCAACTCCGTTTCCTGGCCCCCACCCCTCTCAACCCTTTGCTGTCCTGTGTAGTGATTTGGTGAGAAGTTGCTGCCCACCACCCCTCGTCTCTGCACCATGTGACTTTCAAGTTTTATTACTGCAATAAAAGTGCTTTATGCTGGCTTTTCTCAGGTGTGTGTACTGGTGCTTACTTTCAAGTTGTGTCTTACTCCGACACCCCCCCGCCCCCCACCCCCAGCCATTTGGTGCTTACCAGGTGGGATAGTGCAGGAGGCATGGTGATGGGAACTTTGTGTCTCAGGTCCCATCTGGACAGACGTGAACCAACTTCCTGGAACACTGGCTGGGGAGGGAGACCCGTAGATTTGACCCAGGGACCTCTTGAAGTAGGGTAGTCAGAGAGCACACCCCTCATCAGTTGTCTGTTAACTATATGTTCTGGGGTTACAAGGAGGAAGTGAGCCACCGTCCAATTGGCGACCTAGTGTTTCATGGGCAGATTGATACAGACGTACAAAGGGGGTGCTTTGGTTTTAAACCCGTGGGCTTCCTTGGAGGCTCTCTGCATTTGATGGGGAAAGAGCTATCGGTGTGGGCAGCCAGTGGCTGCAGGGGCTTCCCTGGGTCTGACACTGTAGGTGCCTGTAACACACCCCTCCCCTCCCTGTTAACCAGGCCACCAGGAATGCCTCCACCTTCAGACACCTCCTTGAGTTGCCCTAGTCAAGAAGTGTTGGTTTTAAATAGAAGAGGGGTGTTGTTCAGGGCCTTGCTGTGATGTTCTAAATTCTACCCTGTGTGACTTTAGGTCATCAAGAGTAACAGGTCCAATCTTATTTCCTCCAGAATTTTTAAACAAACTGTCAAATGGCCTTGGGGTGGGGGTGGGGGTCCTCTAGCACAGTGAAGCCAGCAAGGTGCACTACCCAGATGAAGAGGCTTCTTTCAGCGGGTAGCACACATGGCAGTCTCGGGCCTGTGGCTCAAGCATCTGATTCACGAAGCTGCAGGGGCCCATGAACCCAAGAGCAGCAAGTAAATGACAGGCCCCTCGGGCACAGCTCACACAAAGCTCACACCCCCCAAGCCCTGGTGCTACACGCTGGACGCAGGCTCCTGGGCCAGCCAGCACACCCATCTAGATTGGGCGCAGGCTGCACCCTTACAACTGATGGCATCACGGGGGATACTTGGAGCATTGCTGCCAAACCACCAAAGCTCATGACCTTGCCCAGCGGACACTCAACTCTCACCATCACACAGCAGAGTGGAACAATTCCACATGCTCGCTGCCTGGATTCGCAATGTTTTGCTGTAACTTGATCACATACATAACCATGCTCAAAGTCTCTGGGTGGCACACAAAAGTTTGTGCAAGGCTGCTAACAGGTGGGCCGTTCAGACCCACCCAATGGCTCCGATGAGCCGTCCGCACCCCCTGGGGCTTGCTATGATTCTGAAGCCACGGGAGGACCTGTCCACCTGTAACCAATCCAGGTGCACACGACAGGGCTGGGCAAGGTGCTGAGCTCGATACCGGCAGGGCTCAGCTGTCTTTCCTGGGTTTTATTTCTGCTTTTTAGAAACATGGCGGGGATAGTCACAGCCCTAGAATTTAGGAAGATTTGTTTCTAATTCTGCTGTAACCTTTACAAAGGCTGAGACTCCAAGCGACTGTGTTTTTCCATTCCTTAAATAGACAGGACGGGGGAGTTATGGGTGACGGACCAGCGTGGCAGGATGAACCTACGATCGTTTCACACGCTAACACTTCATTGTTTGATATGGGATAAGCCACAGGAGACAGTTTCTGCCTCTGCAGCCAGCCACTGCCCCTGTAAAGACCATGTTGGCAGTTTGGCTACAAGAAAGCATAGCGTCTCATCCCTTTTGTTTCAGGAGATGGCTAGCCCCAAATGAGCCTCTGCCTCTGTCGGTGAGCAAGCCTGTCTCTTGAAATGACTCCAGACTGTTGCCTTGCCACGAGCCAAGAGCTGCAGGGTATACCTGAAGGCTTGTTCTATGGCCTCTCGACTTATTATGTGATGGGTCATTTTTCTATTTCCTTTCTCACCAGGGTCTTGTAACTCCTGCTAAATGGCTCTGTCTCACTGCGATCACGGCAGTTCTGACTCAGAATGACCCTATAGGACAGGGTGGAACTGCCCTGTGAGTTTCTGAGGCCATACCTGTTGACAGGAGTAGAAAGCCTCATCCTTCTCCAATGGACAGCTGGTGGGTTTGAACTGCCCCAGCCTCATGGTTAGCAACCCAGGGCATCGCCAGGGCCTTGTAACTCCCACCCAATGGCTCTAGAACTATAGAAATGAAGTGCTTGTAGCGCTCCAGTGAGATTTGTTAGCTTGCTGATCATGCAAATAAGTTGCAAGCTGCCCTGTGGGGGTGGGATCATGCAAATAATATGTGTAGAACCTTAACACGGGGATTGGTCAGTTTTGCTACGGTGTTAGGCTTAAAAGAAGCCATGTGGGAGGTGGGGGCTTTGCTACCACAAGAGAGATGGGAGCGAAACATGCCCTTGGAACCTGGGCTCTGTGCACTGACAAACCTCCACCACTCAGGAAAAGCAGCTTTAAACCCAGACAGCCAGTCATGAGAAAGCATGTAAGCAGAAGCCAGCACAAGATAGCACAATAGGTTTCCCAGCTCATGAAATAGGCTTATTACAATGAGTGCTGGCCCAAGAAGCAAGAGGGCTGAATGTCTTTGGGCCAATGCTGCGTGACTGAGTGGGATGCTCCGGAGCCCTTAGTGGTGCTGCTAGAGAGTCTTGTAATATTTGTCCAGGCAGCATGGAGAGGCTGAGGGCCAGAGAGGCCTGCCTGTGGCAGGCATCTGAGAAGCTGTCCTGATCAAAGAACTGTACCGTAAGTTGTCCCTGATCCTGAATTGTAACTTGTTAACTCCCTAGTAAGTCTTTTTTGGATATGATATTTATGACTTGTGATGTTGTCATTAGTGTTCTCTATTTTACCGCTCTGGGTTCTAATATCCATTGCAGTGGGTACACAGAACTCACGGTTCAGATCTGCTAATGATGCCCAAGGGGCATACCACGCCACTGTAAGCCTCAACTGGAAGGCAGTCAGCTCAAGTGCAGTGGGAGCAAACCCAGCACCCTGACTGAAGTGTCCAGAGGCACCCCACCCCAGGAAGCTTCAGCCCAAAGGGATCCAGCTCCACTTCGGTGGGTCAGCAAGCCCACCTTCCTCAGTTAAGTGCCCAGAGGCACCCACGCCATCAGCCAGCCTCCTACTCAGAAGCACTTGACTTTACTTGCTCTGTGGGCTGGGAAGTCCATTGTTCCATCCCACACTTGGCCTCCTGGTTCTACTGCTGCTCCTCTGATGGTCTAGCTGTCTTCTGGATCCAGGAGGTTCACTACACAGAGGATCTTGGGTCCAAAGGGCACGCTCCACTTCTGGCTCTTGCTGGTAATGGTATCTCTCTTCCCCATGTGTGGCAGTTACATAATCTCCTGGCAACTTCCAAAGGGGTGGAGTCTAGCCTGTCAATCAGATCATAGCTCGATGACCTCATTTGGGAAGCGCAAATGGAGATAAATAGCTCACTGGAGGCCGGATAGAGACTCACTCCCTGCAAGAGATTCCTGTGGACAAGGCACATGGAGCTACACTGATAGAGCTAGAGCCCTGGAGCTGGAGGAGTCATGTGGAGACCCACACCAGCGCTGAGATGCTTCCACCACCATTGGATCCACAAGACTTTCCACACACTGGCCTGTGATCTTCCTGCATTCAGTGTCATAGCATGAGTGCATGAGTCTGAAGAATTTATAGACGGTAATGGACATATGGGGTAATATCGGACTTATGGACTTGGCTGGGATGTTAATATACAATTACTCTTTGATATAAAGTTACTTTTTATACACATATGAGTGTCCTGGATTTGTTTCTCTAGTCCACCCGGACACAGCAGGATGGCATTGCAGAGAATCCTGTTCAGAATGACTCAGGTGAATCCTATCAGTACCCTCCCCCACCTTCTTATGGAGGAAGAGGTCGTTCGGTGGGAGCTGAGACTTTGGCTAGCAGAGCCACATGAAATAATGCCCTGCCCCTGCAGCGATTGCAGTATTAGTACCGGATTGTCAACGACTGCAGAGGAGTGGGGAGAGATGGCTGGGAAGCAGGGACCTTGCTACCACTACGGAGACAGGGTCCGAAAACCTGGACCCAAGAAACAGACCAACACCACAGACGGTGCCAGGCGGTGAGCCTACAGAGCCGCAGAACAAGGGTCTCCCAGCCTGCAGAGGAAGGGGGTTACACGTGTGTATGCCGAGCCCCTTCTGGCCAGGGCTCACAGGCCCAGTGATGTGCCCCCAGGCCATTTCATGGTGGTGCCAAAGAGCTGTGTTACAGTTGCCAAGCAGGGCAGAGGTGGGGTTGGCCAAGGACCAGAGAGGCCTGCCTGTAGGCACAGATGAGAAGTTGTCCTCATGGATGGAAGAACTAGATCCTGAGTGATTCCTGATCCTGAATTATTGCATCCTGTTACAACCTCATAGCGTTGAGGATGGTGTAGGAGCTCTGTATGGCCACTGCACGGAGCCTTGGTGGCCGATCGGCTACGCAGTGGTCTGCTGTGAGGGCCGAGGTTCAAAGCCACCAGCAGCTCTTCAGGAGAACGCTGAGGGTTTTTACTCCCGTGAAGTGACGTCTAGGAATCCCAGAGGCCAGCGTCAGAAGTGCCTTGATGGCCGTGAGTTTGGTGGGTTTGACTGACAGCCGTGAGCCCGCAGGGAAGCAGATGGTGCCCCTGGAAGCGCGGCTGCTGTCAGGATTGGTCAGAAGGGTGAGACGGGAAGACTGAGTCGTTCTTTGCCCTGTCTTCTTCCTTGGGAAGCTAGACTGGGGGACGCCCTGCCCTTTTACACTCCCTCTCAAATCTCACCATAGGAGGACCTTTGCCATGAGGCCCTGTCTCAGTGTGTCTACTCTACCACCTTTGAGACTCAGAGTGCCAGCGGTGTGTCCCTGCAGCCAGCCTCTTCGCACACAGCCTTGGGCTTAGCTCTCTGCTTTACCCCTAGGGGCTGTATGTCTGTTGGAACACTGCCCGACGCACATCCCTGGGCTGCCTTCTGTTGCCACCCTTAGACCACACTGGCTGCAGGGATCGC